TTGAGGAAATAATTTCACTGTCGGTGTGTGTTTACTATTTGTGTTTTTACGGGGGTTGAGCTTTGCTCTTTCGGCCCGCCTCTCAACTGTCAATCAACTGTTTACTAACTACTATTTTTTTTTTCTCCACACACACACACACACACACACACACACACACACACACACACACACACACACACACACACACACACACACCCCAGGAAGCAGCCCGTGACAGCTGACTAACTCCCAGGCACCTATTTACTGCTAGGTAACAGGGGCATTCAGGGTGAAAGAAACTTTGCCCATTTGTTTCTGCCTCGTGCGGGAATCGAACCCGCGCCACAAAATTACGAATCCTGTGCGCTATCCACCAGGCTACGAGGCCCCATAGTTGATTGTGTGTGTGTGTGTGTGTGTGTGTGTGTGTGTGTGTGTGTGTGTGAACCATCGACCCGAGGCTTCACTCTGGTATTCGGTCGACCTATTTATTATCATACACGAGAGCGTGTGCGCGCGAGCACGCTAGAAGCTGGTGAAAATCCACAAGGACCTTCACTGTATGGACTGCCCTCTCCCCCCCCCTACTTACTCCACTTTCACACACACACACACACACACACACACACACACACACACACACACACACACACACACACACACACACACACACACACACACACACAGGAGTATCTGAACTGAATCATTAAACATAACATGGTCGCAAACTACAAGGAACACTTCCTCTACTCCAAAGCAAACAATTACCCCATTACCTTCCCTCTAGAGACGTGTAGAGGCAGGTGTACTCCGTAGGCTCATCCTCGTGTGATTGTTGATTGTTAATTGACGGTTGAGAGGCGGGACCAAAGAGCTAAAGCTCTTTAGCGTCAGACTGTCCGCGTCAACAGGGTGACGCTAACAGTCAGAGGCGCACCACGAATCAGACACATGTATCAGTATCCTCGAATGGCCCTCGAACTAGACCAAAGAGCCGAAGCTCAACCCCCTACAAACACAAGTAGGTAAGTACAAGTTAAGGTAGAGTCAATATAACACTCTAACCCTCTTTATGGAGTAAAGAAAATGCAGGTTATAATAAATGAATATTAAAGTTAAAAAATAGAGTATCAACATATGTTTTCCCCCTTAAAGAAAATGGGACTTGACAGGTTACCTCAGATGCAGGCGATGAGTCACAATAACGTGGCTGAAGTATGTTGACCAGACCACACACTAGAAATTGAAGGGACGACGACGTTTCGGTCCGTCCTGGACCATTCTCAAGTCGATTGACTTGAAAAACGTCGAAACGTCGTCGTCCCTTCAATTTCTAGTGTGTGGTCTGGTCAACGTTACCTCAGATGTTTATCACTGCGCGTGTGAGAGATCAGTGCTTGTGGCTGCTTGAGAGGCTTCAAGCATGGAGGCGGCGGTCAACTGAGTGACTGTGAGGAGAGTGAACCACACCCCCCCCCCCCAGAGGCAAGACGGCAAGCAAGTGAAGGTTGGGCATCATTAGCGAAGGTGTTGGGTTACCTGCTCTCAACGGCTACCTTGAGGTATCCGCGTCGTACAAGCCACGTCGTACACGAGGCAATTCCACAACGGGTTTTACAAACTAACCTATTCATACCCAACCTAATTCGACCCCAGTCTAATCTAACTTAACCGAGTCTAACAGGCTAACTTAATACGGGTATTTTCGCATTTATTGGCATAACCTGGTGCCAGCCCCTATCACCACCATCATCACTTGACAGTATTTCCATGATAGTATGGGTTGACAATTGATGTAACTGATAGTAAAAATAGTAGTGATGTACATTAGCATTATCACCCCACTATTAGATGTAGCAAATGGGTAATCGACCCCCCATCAACCAGTGATATCAACCCCGCGTGTGTCTATCGACAAATCTATGAATGCATCTCTGAGCACTTTTGATCGGGTCAAGTAACAACTTGACGGGTCTATCGCTGATACTTAGGAGCCGGGCATGTATTTTTTTGTTATTGGGGTCACAAGGTCACTTAAGAGGTCAGAGTCACAAAGAAGCGAAAGTTCAAACCTGTTGTAAGATTTCTCAGCTTAGTGCCTTCTTATTAAGATGTGTTCCTTGCTACGGGGGTCACATCTTAAGCTTTATGCTGAGGTAACACCTTGTATCTTATCCCTGCTGGGGAGATATCCTAAATTTTATCCCTGCTGGGGAGATATCCTAAATTTTATCCCTGCTGGGGAGATATCCTAAATTGTATCACTGCTGGGGGATACATTGAACTTAATCCATGCTGGGGGGAGAGACATTAAGCTGTATCCACACAATGTGGGGGGCCCACTCTAATATGTATCCCCCTTCAAGAGGAGAGGTGACATCCTGAGCTCCGTCGCTGCTTAGAGGATTCGCTAAATTCGCAGCTTAATCGATAAAGGCAGCGTCTGGGATGCTCTCGGACGTAGGTTCGAATCCTCGTCACGGCCCTTGTAGATTTGTCCAGGATTCGTTACGTTCTACCCCCAGGACGAAGGGCAGGTGGCGTGGACACGTCCCTTGGAGAACTACCTTGAGGTTATCTTGAGTTATCTTGAGGATAGTCCACGAGTTACCACGAGGATAGTCCACGAGTTACCACGAGGATAGTCCACGAGTTACCACGAGGATAGTCTCTCTATCCTCCACTCTCGCTGGGTAAAGAGGCTGGCCACTCCTTGTGAAGGATATTCCACCTTGTGGTACTTGAGGAAGTTATTTGTGTACCCTGAGCTGTGAGAGGTGCTTACCTAACAGTGACAACGGTAGAGGGGGTGCTTACCTAGCAGTGACAACGGTAGAGGGGGTGCTTACCTAACAGTGACAACGGTAGAGGGGGTGCTTACCTAGCAGTGACAACAGTGGGAGGGGTGCTTACCTAACAGTGACAACGGTAGAGGGGGTGCTTACCTAGCAGTGACAACGGTGGGAGGGGTGCTTACCTAACAGTGACAACGGTGGGAGAAGTGCTTACCTAACAGTGACAACGGTGGGAGAAGTGCTTACCTAACAGTGACAACGGTGGGAGAAGTGCTTACCTAACAGTGACAACGGTGGGAGAAGTGCTTACCTAACAGTGACAACGGTGGGAGAAGTGCTTACCTAACAGTGACAACGGTGGGAGAAGTGCTTACCTAACAGTGACAACGGTGGGAAGAAGTGCTTACCTAACAGTGACAACGGTGGGAGAAGTGCTTACCTAACAGTGACAACGGTGGGGAGGTGCTTACCTAAGTGACAACAGAGGAACAGGTGCTTACCTAACAGTGACAACGGGACAACAGGTGTTTACCTAACGCGTTAATCTCCCGTTAAACAGAGGTGGCTTCCACAACTTCCTTGTATTAGACTGTAGCTCATTGTTGTCTTCTATAATGAATTATAGAATATAATGAATTATAGAATATAATGAATTATAGAATATAATGAATTATAGAATATAATGAATTATAGAATATAATGAATTATAGAATATAATGAATTATATTTGTAGTTTTTTTACAATTTGTCAATATTACAATAACTGGTGTTTAAGCAGGTAAATTTTTTTGTTATCAGTTTTGGGGCCTTATTTTAATTTATTTAATCAACATTTATATTTTTGACAAACTTGTAAGATTTCTCAGCTCCGTGCGTTCTTATTGATGTATATTTTTAACATTAATTTAATGTAAATTTAAGTTAAATTAATAGAAATTTCACACATACGAAAGTGGTGTGTGAAATTTTGAGGTTCTACAGCTCTCTGATGGTTGTTTTAGGTCCTAAACAGGTTCGTGAAGCAGCCAAATGAGCCAGGTTGCCATGGGTATGTTGGCCTGCGGTCCGCGAACAGCAATAGCTTAGTTGATTGGAGGGAGGGGGTTGCGAGAGCAGGGAAACTGAAGAGGAAGAATGGGGTGCTCCTGTCTAAAGGGGCTACACCTGCTGTGGTAGGTGTCGTTTATAGATTTAGCTACTCAGAACAAAGTGTCCATGTAGCACGGGCTATGGTGATCCCGTAAAAGACTGTGGTAGTGGGGCAGTATTGGAGCCTCTTCCCTGTAATTTATTGCTTAGGTTCAGCGTACTGATTAGTTTTCGTACAGCTTCGTTGTGTATCTCTAAGGCTCAGTGGCGAAATATATAAATATACACACACACACACACACACACACACACACACACACACACACACACACACACACACACACACACACACACACACACACACACACAAACACACAGATATGATATGTAGATATATGATAGAGCCCAGTAGGCTCAGGAATCTGTACACCAGTTGATTGACAGTTGAGAGGCGGGACCAAAGAGCCAGAACTCACCCCCCGCTAGCACAACTAGGTGAGTATAACTTGGTGAGTACAGAGGAGGGCCTCGTGGCTGAGTGGACAGCGCTCGGAGGTCGTAGTCCTAAGGGGCCCGGGTTTGATTCCCAGCCTAGGCGGAAACAAATGGGCAAAGTTTTTTTTCACCCTGATGTTCTGTTCACTTAACAGTAAATATGTACCTGGAAGTTAGCTACCACGGTCAGCTTCCTGGGAATGTGTGTGTGTGTTAGAAATATATGTAGTAGAGATAATAGAGGGAAAATAGATCAGTTAAAGGCGGGGTCCAAGAGCTAACAGCTCGAGTCTGCAGGTACGAATAGTAAGTACACTCACACACGCGTGCGTGCACTCATCTGATGAGTGCACGCACTCATCTGATGAGTGCACGCACTCATCAGATGACCTTGAGAGGCGTGATAGGAGAAAGGAGTCCAACGGAACACCAGAGAAAAGACGTTGATAAGGGACTTGTCACTTGCAAAGATCAGCTAGAGACAGAGCAAGTACACATGGAAACTAACTCTCTCTCTCTCTGCCTTTGTCTCTGTGTCTCTTCTCTTTCCCCCTCTCTCTCTCTTCCCTCTCTGTCTCTTCCCGCCAGCCAGGCGAGAGAGAGAGGGGGGGTCTCAACAGCTTCTTACAGCCCGCCTCTGCCCAGTCTGTGCCCAGCGCCCATCCCGTCCGCGCGCTACACACCTCCGCGCTCAGGTTGAATCACCTGTCTGCTCGGAGTAACTCTCCTCCAACCCCTCCCCCCAACCCCCCCACCTCCGGCACATTGCTCACGGGGTTGATCGTGTGTTGCAACGGGTCTGGGGTTTGTGTTCCCTCCTCCCCAGTGTGTGGAACAGTGTTTGTGTTGCAGGAAAAGTGGTGTTTGTTTACAAGTGCGACGACGAGGATCTTGTGAGAAGTTGGAAATTTTTATGTGAAGGAAATAGCGTTAAAGTGTTGTTGCTTGTTTGGCAGCTTGTGTGGTTGGGGTGTATTGTGTGTGTGTGTGTGTGTGTATTGTGTGTATTGTGTGTGTGTGTGTGTGTGTGTGTGTGTGTGTGTGTGTGTGTGTGTGTGTAGTGGAGGTACAAGTGACATTAAGAGCTCCAGTTTGACTACGCGTGGCCCAAACACACACACAGGGCTCCAGTCCACCACATCAGTTGCCACCACGCCCACACCTGTCGCCACTCCCACACACACCTGTCGTCACTCCCACACACACACCTGTCACCTCACTCCCACACACACCTGTCGCGTCACTCCCACACACCTGTCATACATTAACTTCCTGAATTTGTTGATATTATTTGTAAGAGTGAAGCAATCGGAGGCAAGATCCCCACCATCACCATACTCACACCATCACGAGGCTTACACCACCATATATCATACCCACACCACCACTACACCTCACCATACCCACCAGGGCACCCTACTTACACCTCACCATACCCACCAGGGCACCCTACTTACACCTCACCATACCCACCAGGGCACCCTACTTACACCTCACCATACCCACCAGGGCACCCTACTTACACCTCATCATACCCACCAGGGCACCATACTTACACCTCACCATACCCACCAGGGCACCACACACCACCGCCACCATACTGACACCACCGCTGTACTCACATCACCACCACACTCACCAAAACCATACACCACCACAATACAATATACGACACCTCAATACAACACCATTCACCACACTACAACACCAAAATACTAACTATACCCTGCACAATACAGCACCATACAGCAGCTGTGTGGTTAATCTAGCTACACGGGACAAGGGTAAAGGTCCTCAATATGGAATTAGTGAATTATCTGCAGGGTTTGATCAACCGAGTTGTGATGACTAGGAAAACGTTCTCATAACGGGTTTCCAGGGATGACAAACTGGAAATCAGTGACTGGTAGGCTGCGAGCCAATAGGGGGGAGAATTTGATGTTAACCAAAGTGACTCGGACCCTGTCACTGTTCATTAGTGAACAGTGGCAGGGCCAAGAGGGTGAAGTTCTGTAATGCCAAGCAGATGGTACTCGGTAAACTGTCTCAAGTGAACAGGTCATCAATCAGTAGCATTTGCCAACCCCTCAACCTTCCGGTATCTTGAAGGTGCAAAGCGTGAGGAAAAGTTTGAAGAGTAGCGCCTTTTGGGGGGAAAATAGTGTTTTCCTAATCCAGACAGTTTGGGATTTAGTGTACGACACGTGTCTCCAATGTGTCTTTAAATGTATCACGTCGCCCCAGGAAGTGATACAGGCGGTGGTTATCTCTCTCTCTCTCTCGTCATAGATTTTATAACTCCGCTGCTCAACTGTCGTTGCCTAACCGAATCATCTTGGATATTTGTATCCAAAAGGAATTCTATTACAGTTTCTCTTCCTTAACCACCACCACTCTCATAATTTTTTAGATTTTCGTCTGCACCTGTGTGTGTACTGGAACACGTGTTCGTCTGCACCTGTGTGTGTACTGGAACACGTGTTCGTCTGCACCTGTGTGTGTACTGGAACACGTGTTCGTCTGCACCTGTGTGTGTACTGGAACACGTGTTCGTCTGCACCTGTGTGTGTACTGGAACACGTGTTCGTCTGCACCTGTGTGTGTACTGGAACACGTGTTCGTCTGCACCTGTCTTGTACTGGAACACGTGTTCGTTTGCACCTGTGTGTGTACTGGAACACGTGTTCGCTGCACCTGTGTGTGTACTGGAACACGTGTTCGTCTGCACCTGTGTGTGTACTGGAACACGTGTTCGTCTGCACCTGTGTGTGTACTGGAACACGTGTTCGCTGCACCTGTCTTGTACTGGAACACGTGTTCGCTGCACCTGTCTTGTACTGGAACACGTGTTAGCTGACTTTTCTAATCTCTAAACAAATCTTGCCATTTTGATCTTGCATGATGATTATTCCAATGAATTAGTGAACATCATTTTGAGGCAATGTAGAGAGTCGAACCCACGTTCTGGTGATTCCCGAACACACACCTGCCTTAACCGACTATGCCACGATAGGCTAAAAGTCAGTTGTCTCTTCAGTCAATCAGGCGGTTAAGTCGGGTGTCTGGAAATCGCCAGAAACGCTGGTTCGAGTCACTACATTGTCTCAAAATGATTTTCATTGATGCATCATACAATTGTGATTTTAATTGTGATATTGAAGTTAGTCTTGTGTAGCGTCCTCAGGTGCCAACACGTCTCCACTTACAAGAGGGGAGCCACAACAACTTGATCATCCTTCACTACTTAAATAACGTGTTCACAGATCTTAATTTTGTTATTTTTGTTAATGTTCTGCACTACAGCTCTTGAGTGAAGATCACTACTTTGTTCTGCACTACAGCTCTTGAGTGAAGATCACTACTTTGTTCTGCACTACAGCTCTTGAGTGAAGATCACTACTTTGTTCTGCACTACAGCTCTTGAGTGAAGATCACTACTTTGTTCTGCACTACAGCTCTTGAGTGAAGATCACTACTTCCCTTGTGCTCTCCTCTGGGTATGTTAAGTGGGCCAGCACCTTCAGGGATAGGGGTTAGGAGATCCAATAATGCAGGTTGAAGTTAATGACTTTCTTGACTTTTTATCTCCTCAAGACGTTTTGGTATAATTTCTTTTGTAACATCTTAGGCTTTGTTGTCATTGCGTTTATTTTAATATTACGTGGCGCTTGTTCACGTGGAGGAAGTTGGTGGGACTGTTCAAGTGTACGGTGTTCAGCATGGAGTGTAGAGTTTACTGTGAGTGTACGATGTTCAGCATGGGGTGTAGAGTTTACTGTGAGTGTACGATGTTCAGCATGGGGTGTAGAGTTTACTGTGAGTGTACGATGTTCAGCATGGGGTGTAGAGTTTACTGTGCGTGTAGAGTGAGTGTTAGTCACAGGAAGAATGTCCCAGCGTATGGAATGCTGGGTGAGTCCTGTTAGTAAGACTCTACAGTAAAATAAAACGAGTTATGCTAATCTGGACCCCGCTTTAACGAACCTCCCCCTGCTTCCTCCTCCAACCCAAGCCAATTGGCCAAGATTCCACCCGTTAGAATAGTTACATCGTTTCCATAGGACTCGTGTAGTGGGCCGTAGTTAGACATGGTAGTTAGAGCTGGTAGTTTTGTACGGGGGGGGGGGGTTGTGGGGGGTTCAGGGAGATATTTCCTGAGTATCAGTCCGAGGCGCGGGTATTGGGCGTGTGTTGGTAATCCAAGGACGAGCGTGTTGGGCACCTCAGCCCCGGAGGCTGGCCGCCTTATTCGTCCTCCGGGGGGGAAGAAATTAGGCTAACTGAAGCAGGGTGGTGGAGAGGTGGTGTTTATGTCGCGCATGCTGTTGTGGGACATCCCTTCACGACTAGCGGACTGACGGTCTGACTGACGGACAGACGGTCTGACTGACGGACAGTCGGTCTGACTGACGGACAGACGGTCTGACTGACGGACAGACGGTCTGACTGACGGACAGACGGTCTGACTGACGGACAGACGGTCTGACTGACGGACAGACGGTCTGACTGACGGACAGACGGTCTGACTGACGGACAGACGGTCTGACTGACTGACAGTCGATCTGACTGACTGACAGTCGGTCTGACTGACTGACAAGCGCACACACATATATGAATGAGTGCCCAAATGAGCCACAGAGGCGTTAGAAAGAATTTTTTCAGTGTCAGAGTAGTTGACAGGTGGAATGCATCAGGCAGTGATGTGGTGGAGGCTTACTCCATACACAGTTTCAAATGTAGATATGATAAAGCCCAGTAGGCTCAGGAACCTGTACACCAGTTGATTGACAGTTGAGAGGCGGGCCCAAAGAGCCAGAGCTCAACCCCCGCAAGCACAATTAGACAAGTATACACACACACACACACACACACACACACACACACACACACACACACACACACACACACACACACACACACACCTAGATCCAGACTTCTTCAGTAGCTTTGATATCATCTATAATATTTGCTATCTAGCTGGATAACACGTCCATCAAGGCTCCCTCACGCCACAGTCAGCCTTCATGTTGCTGGGGCGGGCTAGTGATCTGGGCTAGGCTGTGGCGTCCATCACTCACACTATCCACCTCATGGATAGGAGCTTGGTCATGGCTTGGTGCTGTCGACACGCCGGACAAGTGCTTGGAGACCTGCTCTCTGAGCCAAGCTAGCTCGCTCACCGGGTTCTAGGGGTGAAGTTTGTTTGTCTCCTGTATGGAAGTGTTGGATTGACAGGTGTGTGGAGTGCATGATGGGGCTCTAGCCTTGGTCAGCAGGTTCCTGAACCTGTTGTTGTTGTTATAGATTCAGCTACTCGGAACAAGTTCCAAGTAGCACGGGCTATGGTGAGCCCGTAGTGGACTTACCTGGCACAGGAGCGGGGTAAGTAGCACGGGCTATGGCGAGCCCGTAGTGGACTTACCTGGCACAGGAGCGGGGCATTCCTGAGTCAATTTGACCCTTATATCTACACATGAAACTGTGTATGGAGTCAGCCTCCACCACATCACTGCCTAGTGCATTGCAAGCACAGAGTAATGATGCCTCTTGGCGCTTAATGAATGTTGCAGTTTTGTGAGCGAGCATTTGGTATGTAAATGCTGGCAGCATCATCCTTCACTGAAGACGGATTGGTGGCCCACCAGCCTGACGCTAATGCAAGTTATCTCCATCTCCGTCTCTCTCCCCCAAGCATCCAGTGTGGGGCCACCTGGTTGGCAACTATGGTACCTCCACCCTGGGGTGTATCCCCCCAGGGATACTATGTCCAAGCTGGCGCCCCTGTGGCGTGGACGGTGTCGCGCCTCTACCACCGATTATGGAGCAACAACGATAGCAGTTTAATCTTGAAACTGTCAGTCATCTTAACCCCCCCCCCCCCAACCTGCCTTCATCTTGCTTCAGGGATGCTGCACTAAGCATGCCGATCAGCGAACTGCTCCAGATACTCTGCTCTGATTATTAACCCCTGCATGTTAAATTAAAATGCACGTCCGTGTGTGCGCGCGCGTGTGTCTGTACTCGCCTATTTGTGTGCTTGCGGGGGTTGAGCTCTGGCTCTTTGGTTCCGCCTCTCAACCGTCAATCAACAGGTGTACAGGTTCCTGAGCCTACTGAGCTCTATCATATCTACACGTGAAACTGTGTATGGAGTCAGCCTCCACCACATCACTTCCTATGTGCGTTCGTGTGCGTGCGTTCGTGTGCGTGCGTTCGTGTGCGTGCGTTCGTGTGTATGCGTTCGTGTGTTTGCGTTCGTGTGTTTGCGTGCACGGAGTATAATTAGGGTCTTGAGTACCTGGGTTTCTGAGGACAACGCCTTGGCCCTGACTGTAAAAGTCATTGTCTTGAGTAAACACGATCTACAGGCAGTGGCCACGCCGTGTTGTGAATACTGATGTGTCAGTGGCTAGGTACAGGTGACCTGGCATCCAAACACAGCTGACTTCCTCCCCAAACAGGGATCATTTGCTCCCCAAACAGGGATCATTTGCTCCCCAAACAGGGATCATTTGCTCCCCAAACAGGGATCATTTGCTCCCCAAACAGGGATCATTTGCTCCCCAAACAGGGATCATTTGCTCCCCAAACAGGGATCATTTGCTCCCCAAACAGGGATCATTTGCTCCCCAAACAGGGATCATTTGCTCCCCAAACAGGGATCATTTGCTCCCCAAACAGGGATCATTTGCTCCCCAAACAGGGATCATTTGCTCCCCAAACAGGGATCATTTGCTCCCCAAACAGGGATCATTTGCTCCCCAAACAGGGATCATTTGCTCCCCAAACAGGGATCATTTGCTCCCCAAACAGGGATCATTTGCTCCCCAAACAGGGATCATTTGCTCCCCAAACAGGGATCATTTGCTCCCCAAACAGGGATCATTTGCTCCCCAAACAGGGATCATTTGCTCCCCAAACACGGATCATTTTGCTCCCCAAACACGGATCATTTTGCTCCCCAAACACGGATCATTTTGCTCCCCAAACACGGATCATTTTGCTCCCCAAACACGGATCATTTTGCTCCCCAAACAGGGATCATTTTGCTACCCAAACACGGCTCATTTTGCTACCCAAACACGGATCATTTTGCTACCCAAACACGGATCATTTTGCTACCCAAATACGGATCATTTGCTCCCCAAACACGGCTCATTTGCTCCCCAAACACGGCTCATTTGCTCCCCAAACAGGGATCATTTGCTCCCCAAACACGGCTCATTTGCTCCCCAAACAGGGATCATTTGCTCCCCAAACACGGCTCATTTGCTCCCCAAACACGGCTCATTTGCTCCCCAAACACGGCTCATTTGCTCCCCAAACACGGCTCATTTGCTCCCCAAACACGGCTCATTTTGCTCCCCAAACACGGCTCATTTTGCTCCCCAAACACGGCTCATTTTGCTCCCCAAACACGGCTCATTTTGCTACCCAAACACGGCTCATTTGCTCCCCAAACACGGCTCATTTTGCTACCCAAACACGGCTCATTTGCTCCCCAAACACGGCTCATTTTGCTACCCAAACACGGATCATTTTGCTCCCCAAACACGGATCATTTTGCTACCCAAACACGGATCATTTTGCTCCCCAAACACGGATCATTTTGCTCCCCAAACACGGATCATTTTGCTACCCAAACACGGATCATTTTGCTACCCAAACACGGATCATTTTGCTACCCAAACACGGATCATTTTGCTACCCAAACACGGATCATTTTGCTACCCAAACACGGATCATTTTGCTACCCAAACACGGATCATTTTGCTACCCAAACACGGATCATTTTGCTACCCAAACACGGCTCATTTTGCTACCCAAACACGGCTCATTTTGCTACCCAAACACGGCTCATTTTGCTCCCCAAACACGGCTCATTTTGCTCCCCAAACACGGCTCATTTTGCTACCCAAACACGGCTCATTTTGCTCCCCAAACACGGCTCATTTTGCTCCCCAAACACGGCTCATTTGCTCCCCAAACACGGCTCATTTTGCTACCCAAACACGGATCATTTTGCTCCCCAAACACGGATCATTTTGCTACCCAAACACGGATCATTTTGCTCCCCAAACACGGATCATTTTGCTCCCCAAACACGGATCATTTTGCTCCCCAAACACGGATCATTTTGCTACCCAAACACGGATCATTTTGCTCCCCAAACACGGATCATTTTGCTACCCAAACACGGATCATTTTGCTACCCAAACACGGATCATTTTGCTACCCAAACACGGCTCATTTTGCTCCCCAAACACGGCTCATTTTGCTCCCCAAACACGGCTCATTTTGCTCCCCAAACACGGCTCATTTTGCTCCCCAAACACGGATTATTGTATATTCCGATAGACGTTGTAAAAAGCGATTCATCATCTAACAACATGAGACAATTGACTCATCAACTAAGTAGCAGCAACTCATCCACACGCAAGTGACTCGTTACTGAACAAGAGGGAGGTTGTTATACAAGAACAAGGTACCAGATGATGCAACCATCCTGTTGAGGCGAACTAGAGACATGGCAACCACGCTGCATGCTCTCTCTCTCTCTCTCTCTCTCTCTATATTATCACAGTCATCTTATTCATCCTCATGAAGATAACTACAAGCGCGCGCTCGCATACACACACACACACACACACACACACACACACACACACACACACACACACACACACACACACACACACACACACACACACACACACACACACATATACACGCACGCACGCACAGTATATAAAGACAGACTTTTTAACACAAGGGGCACACGCACTAGGGGACACAGGTGGAGACTGAGTACCCACATGATCCACAGAGACGTTAGAAAGAACATTTTTCAGTGTCAGAGTAGTTAACAGATGGAATGCATTAGGCAGTGATGTGGTGGAGGCTGACTCCATACACAGTTTATAATCTAGATATGATAGAGCCCAGTAGGCTCAGGAACCTGTACACCAGTTGATTGACAGTTGAGAGGCGGGACCAAAGAGCCAGAGCTGAACCCCCGCAAACACAACTAGGTTAGTACACACCCCCCCCCCCACCTACCTCCAACACGTACCTACACCACAGCATGCAGGAAAGCACACTGAAGGAAGCGTTTCGCTTAAACACTATTGAGCATCTTGAGAGGCAGTGTACAGATGACGGCCGGGAGCACATACACCAAAAAGGTGGTGGTAAGGTTACGTTAGGTTATGTTGATTGATTGATAAAGATTAAGCCACCCGAGAGGTGGCACGGGCATGAATAGCCCGTAAGTGGTACAGGTTAGGTTATATAGTCGCTATATTGGAAGGAGCAGAAGCAGTAGCACCACGCCTACTGCTCCCTAGGAGTGGTGTAAGGAGGAAATTCTCTGTCTAGTGGATGGTAAGATGTACCTAAGAGCAAGGTGGCTGTGGGCGCGTGTTTGGTGTGTAGTGCTTCAGCAATGTCTGATCTCCTATTGTCGTTATCCCTGGTGCTAACTTTGGTGGTGTTGGACAGGACATGTCCGGTGATGGTCTGGTAATGTGTAGTGGAAGCGACGTGAACTTTTACAGCGTCTCGTTGTGTGGGCATGGTCAGGCGTCTTGAAAGATGTTGTTCTTGTTCTCCTCTTGTCTATTGCTAACTTGTACTCCTTATGCGCGCACTCTGAGAATTGCACTCCCTCTTCTCTCTGGACCCCCTCTGTACTCTCTGGACCCCCTCTGTACTCTCTGGACCCCACAGGAGCGTCCCGTGCAGCACAGTGAGTGAGTGAGTAGATGAGTTGGTGAGTGAGTAAGATGGTGAGCCAGCTGAAAGTCAGTCAGTCAGTCAGTCATTCCAGGTCAGCTTCCAGACTCCTGCCAATATGCCGCATCCGTCTCCCCCCCCCCCACCTCCCCGACCTCCTTGTCCTCGTATCCCAGCTCCTTGTCCTCAAGTGCTATACAGTCCAAGATGCCAACCACCATCTACAAGACAGATGGTGGTTGGCACCACACCTGAAGGAAGGGATTTGTGGTTTTTTCACTTTTCCAGAATTCTTTTTGTGGCACTTAACGCGATATATCATTAAAGAACAAATGTCCACATTTTCTTATCACCTTTTACTCTGATGATAAATGATTTTGGTGAGGGATATTATGAACTAATCCCTTCAACGTTTTCCAGTGTGTGTGTGTGTGTGTGTGTGTGTGTGTGTGTGTGTGTGTGTGTGTGTGTGTGTGTGTGTGTGTGTGTGTGTGTACTCACCTAGTTGTGCTTGCAGGGGTTGAGCTCTGGCTCTTTGGGGTGTGTGTGTGTGTGTGTACTCACCTAGTTGTGCTTGCAGGGGTTGAGCTCTGGCTCTTTGGGGTGTGTGTGTGTGTGTATACTCACCTAGTTGTGCTTGCTGAGGTTGAGCTCTGGCTGTGTGTGTGTGTGTGTGTGCTTGCTGTGTGAGTGGCTGTGTGTGTGTGTGTGTGTGTGTGTGTGTGTGTGTGTGTGTGTGTGTGTGTGTGTGTGTGTGTGTGTGTTTGTTTGAGGGAGTTGGCAAGCGAGTAATCTCATGAACTATGTCGCAGTGAACTCAGTGTTCAGTGAAGTGCCGGGGTCTCTAGGGGTCACCTGTCAATTAGCTTAAATGTAACTGGTTGACAATTTTGTGTTACAGGAAAGAGAATGGAAAAGCAGTTGTGCCGCGCGTATCACAGTGTTACTAAACTAAAGAGTTCTATGAAAATTTACCACCAGTGAAAGCACTTGAGGAGTTCTGTGAATTGAAATACAAAATAATATGTAGCGTGTTTGTTAATTAGTGATCAAGGTGAGTGAGTGATAAAGATTAAGCCATCCAAGAGGTGGCACGGGCATGAATAGCCCGTAAAGGTGAGTGCGTGGTTCCCCCTGGATATATATACTATGTGGGTCCAGGACAGGAGGGACAGGTTTAGAGGTCCGTCCACAGCGTGCCGACCCGTCCACTCGCCACACAGGACGCAGCGCTGTCCACAGTCACCGCCAGGATGGACGCTTGAAGAAGGGAACGTTCCGGTGGTGATATGAAGCTTCCCTCAGATTGGGACGAGGATTGAGTTACCAATCTTGGGGAAATATGCAAGAAGAAGCCGACGAATCTCCTTGAAGATCCTTAGAGTTGTCGGCAGACAATTCTACGTTGATTTGAGCTAAAAAAGCAAGAGTCTGCCTTGTCAAGAACTGATGGCTCTTAAGGCCAACTGTTATGCCTTAAGTGCATATCGGAAAATAACATATTTCCAGTTGCTTTTCTCCCGGATAGAGAAAGTCTTGGGATAGAGCGTGGAGGACCTGCCCACATGCAGGCGTGACTGGGTGTGCCTAGACTTTGCGGTCCTAACAAAGATGCCTCATAGTTCCATCTCCCGCTCCGATAGCGGCTCCGTCTCCCGCACGGATAGCGGCTCCGTCTCTGCCATCAAGAACTTCATATTCGGAGGAGTGCTGGAATCCTCCCGGTTCCCTTCTGATGAAACCAACGAGGAAGGTAGGCTCGGCCTCGAACATCAAGCCCTCAGAGGTGAGATACTCAAGTCTCAGGTCCTCCGACCTCAAGTTCTAACGTCACACATAATCAAGACCAAAGTTCAGAGGTGCCCCAAGTATAACCCAGGCACATACGAGGATGTCAACACTCCTGATAACCCGAGACCTCCGAGCTCCGAGTCTGGCAGTGGCCAGTGTGTTCGGTCTTTAGTGAAGAAGCTTAACAATCTAAGGACTTCGAATGTTCGAACTGGAAGCACCAGCTTGGGGAGCAAGGATAAAGGTTCACCGCAGTATGGTTCGACCCCCAACTTGTCCTCCGAGCCCCCGCCGTCTGCCGGAGCTGGAGGAGGAGTGATGTGGACAGGCACTTTACCTAGAAACTTCCACGCTGGGGACAAGAGACCCCCGCGTGATGGCAGGCTGGTGGACAACACGCCCCTGCCATTATTGTCCTCGGGTTCCACCGTGTCCTCTCATGCACACACCACCAACACCACGTTCGATTCCGGCTTTTTGTCCGACTCGACATACCCAGAAATAGAAGGTAGATATCCAGCGGGAGATAACAGCGTTGCTTCAGTACGACCAGAGGAGAGTAAAGACGGGAGGTGTTATCCTCAACACAGGTCGTTGCTGCACCAAGATAACCCGACGTACGGCTGCGTTAGCGAGACCGCACGACCGCGTCGCAGCAGGGAAGGCTCTCGCAAAGTCAGCAGCGTCGTTCTCAAAATCGAAAGCGGTCTTTTTGCCACAGTGGACGAAGACGACCCCCAGCGGGAGGGTCGTGGCAGGGACCGGCGGCCCCTGGACCCTAGCTCCCCAGCCCTGCCTCCTCCTCCTCCAAGCTGTATCATCGTCAGTAAGCTGGTGCCGGGGGAGGAGGCTGCTGCCAGTGGCTGGAAGACTGCCACACTCACCACAGGTGGCACCTTCCTGGCTCGCTGCGTCAAGATTGAAGACTTGTGAGTATTTGTTCTGTTGCCATAGCCAGCTTTACACCAAGCTTAAGCTTTAAGTAAAGCTAAAGCTTTACACTAAGACACTGATATGTTTTCTACACAACATTAAACAGGTTTTTGTTGATTTGATGGAGGATGGAGGGCCCATCTACACTACAACACGACCTCCATCAGTGTAGCCATCTACACTACAACACGACCTCCATCAGTGTAGCCATCTACACTACAACACGACCTCCATCAGTGTAGCCATCTACACTACAACACGACCTCCATCAGTGTAGCCATCTACACTACAACACGACCTCCATCAGTGTAGCCATCTACACTACAACACGACCTCCATCAGTGTAGCCATCTACACTACAACACGACCTCCATCAGTGTAGCCATCTACACTACAACACGACCTCCATCAGTGTTGCCATCTACACTACAACACGACCTCCATCAGTGTTGCCATCTACACTACAACACGACCTCCATCAGTGTTGCCATCTACACTACAACACGACCTCCATCAGTGTTGCCATCTACACTACAACACGACCTCCATCAGTGTAGCCATCTACACTACAACACGACCTCCATCAGTGTAGCCATCTACACTACAACACGACCTCCATCAGTGTAGCCATCTACACTACAACACGACCTCCATCAGTGTAGCCATCTACACTACAACACGACCTCCATCAGTGTAGCCATCTACACTACAACACGACCTCCATCAGTGTAGCCATCTACACTACAACACGACCTCCATCAGTGTAGCCATCTACACTACAACACGACCTCCATCAGTGTAGCCATCTACACTACAACACGACCTCCATCAGTGTAGCCATCTACACTACAACACGACCTCCATCAGTGTAGCCATCTACACTACAACACGACCTCCATCAGTGTAGCCATCTACACTACAACACGACCTCCATCAGTGTAGCCATCTACACTACAACACGACCTCCATCAGTGTTGCCATCTACACTACAACACGACCTCCATCAGTGTTGCCATCTACACTACAACACGACCTCCATCAGTGTTGCCATCTACACTACAACACGACCTCCATCAGTGTTGCCATCTACACTACAACACGACCTCCATCAGTGTAGCCATCTACACTACAACACGACCTCCATCAGTGTAGCCATCTACACTACAACACGACCTCCATCAGTGTAGCCATCTACACTACAACACGACCTCCATCAGTGTAGCCATCTACACTACAACACGACCTCCATCAGTGTAGCCATCTACACTACAACACGACCTCCATCAGTGTAGCCATCTACACTACAACACGACCTCCATCAGTGTAGCCATCTACACTACAACACGACCTCCATCAGTGTAGCCATCTACACTACAACACGACCTCCATCAGTGTAGCCATCTACACTACAACACGACCTCCATCAGTGTAGCCATCTACACTACAACACGACCTCCATCAGTGTAGCCATCTACACTACAACACGACCTCCATCAGTGTAGCCATCTACACTACAACACGACCTCCATCAGTGTAGCCATCTACACTACAACACGACCTCCATCAGTGTAGCCATCTACACTACAACACGACCTCCATCAGTGTAGCCATCTACACTACAACACGACCTCCATCAGTGTAGCCATCTACACTACAACACGACCTCCATCAGTGTAGCCATCTACACTACAACACGACCTCCATCAGTGTAGCCATCTACACTACAACACGACCTCCATCAGTGTAGCCATCTACACTACAACACGACCTCCATCAGTGTAGCCATCTACACTACAACACGACCTCCATCAGTGTAGCCATCTACACTACAACACGACCTCCATCAGTGTAGCCATCTACACTACAACACGACCTCCATCAGTGTAGCCATCTACACTACAACACGACCTCCATCAGTGTAGCCATCTACACTACAACACGACCTCCATCAGTGTAGCCATCTACACTACAACACGACCTCCATCAGTGTAGCCATCTACACTACAACACGACCTCCATCAGTGTAGCCATCTACACTACAACACGACCTCCATCAGTGTAGCCATCTACACTACAACACGACCTCCATCAGTGTAGCCATCTACACTACAACACGACCTCCATCAGTGTAGCCATCTACAGTTAAAATCAAATTACATTAAGCTCACGGCGCCGGAGAGTCGGTGGCTGAGCGAACAGAACACTGGACGTGTGATCCTGTGGTCCCGGGTTCGATCCCGGACGCCGGCGAGAAACAGTGAGCAGAGTTTTTTTCACCCTATGCCCCTGTTACCTAACAGTAAAATAAGTACCTGGAAGTTAGTCAGCTGTGACGGGCTGCTTCCTGGGGGTTGGAGGCCTGGTCGAGGACCGGGCCGCGGGGGACACTAAGCCCCGAAATCATCTCAAGATACACCAGGTGTCCAGAAGGTTGTGAAGGAGGCAGGGGAGTCGAGATGGAACACTGTGTGGCGGTAGCCAGCTGGCGGGCGGCCAGCCTCCTCCTGGTGCTGGAGATCAGTGTCCGGCACCAGCCAGCTGGCTTCTTGAGGTTATCTTGAGATGATTTCGGGGCTTTAGTGTCCCCGCGGCCCGGTCCTCGACCAGGCCTCCACCCCCAGGAAGCAGCCCGTGACAGCTGACTTAACACCCAGGTACCTATTTTACTGCTAGGTAACAGGGGCATAGGATGAAAGAAACTCTGCCCATTGTTTCTCGCCGACGCCCAGGATCGAACCCGGGACCACAGGATCACAAGTCCAGCGTGCTGTCTGCTCCCTCGACCGGCTTACAAACAGAGGTAATACAGAGAACATTCAAGCCACAGACGCTATAAACCAGCTTCATTACTGAGATCGTCATCTACGGGCTCACCATAGCCCGTGCTACTTGGAACATTTTGTTCCAAATAGCGAATGTTAAATAATAACAACAATGGGATCGTCTCTTAAGCTCTCAAAATGTATTCTGTATAAAGGAGACGAGAAAGGTCTCAAATACAGGTTAGAGACTTTTTATTATTATTTTCTACCACAGACGTCGCCAGACATTTACAATGCTAACCACCATATATACATTTTCTTGTCCTCCGTGGACAGGGTTAGAGATGTGTTAAACATATAGTTCAGGGGTTTATTGAACAATCAACCACAGGAGGTGATTCGGTGCTTTTAAAATACTAAGCTAACTTACATACGTAAATACATAGATACAGGTTAGATCTAGGTACTTAGATCTAGGATCTTATCTAGGTTAGATACTGGAAGGTCAGGGCCCCAAATGTGCTCACCCGCCTAATATACCTAATGGAACAAAAGTTATGGAAGGAAATGCAGAACAGACCCAGTGAAGAGTACAGGTGTCAAACACACTGAAAACCAGAGGTCCACGACTCTTAATATCCTCCCAACAAACATAGAAATGTTGCCGGAGCAAAAGTCGACGTGTTTAAGGAAACAATTAGACAAATCTGGCAAGAAATGTGAGCTCCGGCCGCTCTAATTAGCAGCCTGTTGGGCAAAGTTACCTCAAGGCGAGCCAGGACCCAGCAGGCAGGGCTTGGGAAGACTTAAGAATTCCCAGAACCCACTCCAGGTATACTGCAGGTATACTCCAGGTATACTCCTGGTATACTCCAGGCAAGACAGTTACTCTTGAGAAAAAAGGGGGAAGAGAAGGGAACTATCGGGGAGGAAAGCGTCAAGGCATTACGACTATATAGCACTGGGAAGGGGTCAGGATAAGGATTTGGGATGGGACGGGGATAAGGAATGGTGCCCAACCACTTGGTGGACGGTCGGGGATTGAACGCCGACCTGCATGAAGCGAGACCGTCGCTCTACCGACGGTCTTGTAGAGGTTGTTCGCTAGGCCAATGTATGTGTTCGTGTTCCGGTCTTATGCTGATAGACAGTCACTTGTTGTATGTCTTGTCTTCTTTGGGTCTGTCTATCTGTCTTCACCCGGACAACTGCCTCTTAATCACATTATCTGTAAGACGGTAAACATGTATATATATACACTGATTGGCAGTGTGAAAGATCTTTAATCACCTTGTGTCGTTCAGCGCTCAGTAACTCGCTGTATACCGTAGCACCTGTCTACTACTGTCTACCCCTGTCTACCCCTGTCTATGTAGGACAGATGAAATGTATGCCGGTTAGCTGTGTATAAATGTATGGCCGCGTATGTGGGAGAAAATACACTATTATACAAGACAACTCGTGCCACCTCTTGTATTGTTACGCTCTATACAACAGTTTAGGAGGTCGATTTATTGTCTATTTGGAGATGAATGATTTGAGAAAGTCTATTGAACAATGAAGAAAGACAAGAGATAAATACATTAGATTTTGTAGGATATTTGCATACTCTCCCATACTGGAGATTCTCCCAATTCAGTGATTTTTATTTGTCCCAGTGAATTATCCTGTATTTGAGGTCTTCGCGTCGCCATGTTGAGAGACGGACCGGTGTTATTTTGCTGTAGGTAATTGTTGAGAGACTTGTAGGGGCTAAACAATAGATTGTATCTCTGAGTGTGTTGTTAGCCGACGTGTTGGGGGTGTGGGGGATGGATGAGATTGTGGATGATGATGCTGCAACACCCACACCATCCGCACACTCGTGCTTCACACCCAATCTTTGTTTACTCTAGCACAAGCCGTGTTAGGCCAGAACCTGTCGACGCCGGAGGTAAGGCCAAGAAGGTGGTGGCGAGATGACCTTATCGCTCGCAGAAGGCAACGGTCACCCCCTTAGGGTCGCGGCGTTCAATCCCTCGACCGTCCACAATTTTTTTATTATTATTATTTTCTACCACAGACGTGGCCACACATTTACAATGCTAACCAGCATATATATACATTTTCTTCTGTCCTACATGGACAGGGTTAGAGAAGTGTTAAACATATAGTTCAAGGGTTTATTGAACACAAGTGGTTGGGCACCATTCCTTTCCCCCCGTCCCATCCCAAATCCTTATCCTGACCCCTTC